CATATACAAAATAGTTAGGTCAGGTCCGAACTGGTCGTTGACTGTAGTTAAGTTAATCAAACGGTCACGTCCCGTGGACGCCAGAAGATAGGCAGAAGCTGCGTGTTTTGTTTACTCAGGTCGTTGCAACTTTAACCTGATGCTTATGGGGTGAACAGTAGATTAGGTAAACACTTCACATTTTAAGTTAATGGAAACGCGGCTGGGGCCATACTGACAATACCCGGTAATACCACGCATCATAAGTGCTGCCGGTTTACTGGTTTTAGCATTACTTCCTCTCGAGGGTCTAATTATGGGAATAAGGGGAGCTCGAAGGGGAACCTGGTTTCGAGGACTGGGGGTGCAAAAAGTGTGCGTTTTGCAATTTACCTGCGGGTTGGAGAATCCAAGAAGGCCGTTCTGCATAAGCAGGTGGGATTTCATCAGCTTTCCACCTCCAAATCCACTACCATCACCACTACCGCTACGGCACTTCTCGGAGAGAAATGCTGCCTTGTAGGGACTGCAGTCATCAGCAGCCGATGTAGAATTGCGTCCATGTGCTGCAGATCTGCCGGAATGAACAGCGGAGCCGCCATTGGCTTGGCTCAGAGCGCGCAATTCGTTTAACCGTTGACTGAGCACCAGACGGGCGGAAGCGAATGCGGGGTCTTTGAGTACGGAGTGGGGGTAGTTGTGGTACTAAGTGGGCACGAGGGAAACCCGAAAAAAAACCATTAAGGCATGCATTTTTCTGAATTTCTGTAGATATGAAGTGCATTACACTATGTGACCCCTGATGTTTATTAATAAATGCGTATTTTTGTGCATACGCTTAAATTTCCTTGAGTTATGAAGTTTTTGACTGTGCGCATTACCTAATTATTGCTAAATTCATTTGCCGCCTTCATACGGAAAGGAGGCGATCAAGTGTCATTAAAGGTTTAGACTTCCTTTGGTTCCCTACAGAAGTACTTATGACCGAGTTAATTTTAGTTTTTTTGCCTGGAATTGTTCGTGTGAGAAGGCGATACCTTCCGATAGTTGTACAAAGTCCAACTTATGCACTTGCTCAATTAGCAGAAATCTCAAGTGTTTTCAGACTTGCTTCATAAAACTGAATAAATTCGCAGTTTTTGATAGTGAAAAGTTTGAAGTTATGGCGAGATAAGTGTTAAATTCACTGTTCGATAGGAGGAATAATTAGCTGCAACTCGGCAGCGTATGCCTTCAACAAGGTTGAGAAATTTTGGAGATTTGCCGAAATTCTTACCCCCCTCACCCAGCATCCCATGACTTGATGGCAGACATTCAAAAGCTAATCTACAGTTGTGGAGTGAAGAAGGTTGTCAAGAAGCTATTTTGAGAGAATGGATCATGCATGTCTTTGCCAGTTGATCGTGAGTACAGTGAGCCCGTTTTATTCCGGTCATGGGCAATTAAAAATACTAACCTTTAGATGTCGTTCCAGTGAGTGGACAAACGCCTTCAAGGACTCCGGTTCGTATTCGTGACCGTCCTTCTTTTTGGCCGTGAGGATGAAGTCCTGAAGGCGGGAAGCACAAAAGTTAAAGTTGGATGAGAGATTAGCACACACGTGAAGGTCCAATACTATCATTAAATGATGCCGTGGGCTTAAACGCGGGGGTCAAGCAGTCAGTCAGGCTAAAGCAGATTAACAAAATGTTAGAAGACTAAGGCTGTCTATGTCCGCCAAGCGTTCACCTTCTAAGCAGAAACTGGTATCGTTATGTTCCGAAAAGTTTCATATCATAAGCACTGCGCAACCACCTCCTTAGAGCAGTAATCGACACTCCCCACTGACTTTTTGACAGTCACGTGTTGTTTTTCACTGTGACTTCTGGGCACGTTCAGCTCTGAACTGGGCTATTTAGAAGTGACCATGCTGATTCTTACTGAAAATAATCTTAATTCAATGCATGGAAGGTATCCTTCTATTTTGGCGTTAGAATAGTTCGCCAAAATGCGTAAATCACATTACGTGAGCACCACTACCATGTATGTTAGGATGCACCAACATTCCACTTCTTATAAAAGCGAACTTTCAGGAAATCGTCTCCTTCCGTGACAAAATTGAGTAGGTCGGTTTTTAAATTTACGTAAACACGATAAATTTTTTAGACGCTCATGCTAATATTCCTGTAATCTATTGTCTGCGCGGTATTCGGATCACACTGCGGGGGAGGTAGTTACTTATTTAACACAACTTGAATTACGCTCTCCACATTTTGTTCGTCAGTCAGAAAGTGAAATGAGTTTGTAAAGGGCGCAAAGGAAAGAGGAAAGTGGAAATGACTAAGTAATGCAATTGTCACTTTCTCGTTATCCGCCGACTCCAGCCTACCATTCCCTAACCCCAGGTCGAAATACGGAAGAAGTCTGTTTTGGGCCGGAGTCACTCAGAGGAGTGCGTGCAGTCCAAGGTGTGTTGGGTAGAGCTAAAGAAATCTCTAAAGCAATCAGGCTCCTCCGAGACCCACAGAAATGCAATGAGGATGTTCGTGCATATTAGGGCGTTTGCTGGCATTTTGTCCGATCAGCAGGTGTCTTCTAACCCACCCACATCCGAACGAGAGTTGACAATCAACCAGCTCCAGCACACCTTGTCATACAGTTGAAAAAAGATCTTCCGTAGCTGCAATAGCTTACCTGAATGTAACTACTCAAGTCTTCCGGGGGCATCTCGTGTATCTCGCGATTGTCGTTCTTCACCTGGACAAAGTAGCGGTGAATTACTTTCATGTCCGACTTCGTCTTTCGCAGGGTGTTATGCACGATGGCGGTGGTTTGGCCGCTTCCGCCCTCCTCCTGCGTGCCGCTGGTGCTACGTCTTGCGTTGTTAGTGGAGCTGGAGGTGGGGGAGACGGTGGTTGATCCGTGCGTCGCCGAGATCGAGGATGACTGGTCACTGTGAAGGGAAGTCTCGGAGGTCCTGGAGGTCTTAGCGGATGACTTGAG